GCGGAGATATGAAATACTGTGTCAGGGGAGCGGGTTCTAAAACTCTCAATTGACTTAAATTCTAAATTTCGATCGACATTATTAACATTACGTTGTAATTTAATATTACGTTGGGTGCATTGAAGCGACTCCAGGTGTTTCGATAGAGTCTTAGACACCGGCCTGAAAATCCGGTAGGAGTCATTTATTTTTATTTCAGGACTTTCTTCCAGTTTTGTACTAGCGTACCCCTCCCCTCGTTTTCTTTGCCGAGGAGTTATTTGGATAGAAATGCTCTCCGTTTTCGGTCTGTTTAATTTTATTGGAATTTGGCCTAGCTCGAAATGGCTTTCCATTAGCAGTTGAAGTCGAGGGTTCCGACGATTTGGACCGAGTGCGGTTACCAGATAGCATCTGCTTTTGTAATTTATCTATACCACCAATTTTTTGTATATGTGCAGTTTGTAATCCGGGGTTAAACATATCATCACAAGAAGGGGATATTTCTAACACCTAAGCTCGCTTACCGCAAATTATATATGTTTAACTCTTTCTATACGTGTCTGAATTACTTTCGGTACAGTAGTTTCTTGTACAGAAACGCTCAAATCTACAAAACTACCCGCCTCTATTACAGGCGGACGTAAAAAAACTGTTCGTCAGCCGTTGTCGATGTTTGAATGGATGTTGAAGCTAGATTATAACACTTTTATTAATAGGTTGTTGTGGTATCAGTAAGTGTGAGGGCGTTGCCGCCGGCTCACGACCAGTATTAGCCTAATTCGAGACAAAAATATTTTTCACATGACTCACAAATTGTTGTGACAATAAATCAATACCTTTTATAAAGATCCCGCGACAAGTCACGCATTCGGAGTTTCCTTGGTGGTTCCTAGTCTCTATATTCCGACGAATCCTTGAAATATTTTCATTAGGCGCGATAACCTCGTCACTCATTATTAAGCGTTTAAGGTATTAAGAAACGGAAGACAAACAAAGCTTGTTTGCAATTAACCAACTCTCTACTTTAAGTCTCAAAAGTTGATTATAATAACTAATAAAAGTATTAAAGTTTAACTTTTTACGACTGCACTGGTTGAAAAACGACGCAACAATGACAAAATACGGCGGCTCGTCTTTGCTTGTGAGTTAGTTCCAGAAAGGAGTATAGAGGGCGCTGTAGACGCGGCGTTTCCTAAACGGAAGTAGAAAAATTTTGCGACCTGCAGCGGAAATCAAACGATGTACTCTCATAATGAACTTCGGACGTCAATCGGAACACTTAATATATAGACAGCAGCGCTGTGTTTACCCTAAGGATAGATACTAGGATTAGTGTCGCGGACGAAAAGTTTTTCAAAATTCGGAGGGCACATATAAAAATTTCTTCGCGTTATCGAAAATTCCTTAATAAATTTAATCGTAATGAAATCATCTTTAAGAAAGAAAGAAAGAAAGAGATTTATTTGACATAAAACAGACTGACGTACACAACAATCACTTAAAACAATAAAAATTAGACAAAAAAGACATGAACATAAAACTCCAATATGCATATTTTCCCTTTTCAATAAAGTACGTCGCGATTCATGCCAAAAAGGACATCACTCAGCAGAATGTTGCAGTGAAACTGCAACGCTGATTTTCAGTAATGACCAAAAATTGGGGAATACAGCCCCGAGCCCAAAAAAAAAACAATACATTTATCAAAAACAAAAGTAAGAAACTAAAATTATAATAAAATAAAAACTCAAAAAACAACAAAAATGGGAACGTTAATTAGGATCGTAAATGTATCCACCAATCCATACATGTGTGTGCATCAGGCACGTGCTTACTTTTCAGTTAATGGTACGGTTTTAGTACGAGAAACGAGAAAAAATGAAAAAAAAGGACAAAAAATTTACATAAAATCTTATAAAAAGTAATAAAAAACATATGATGTTATTAAATCAAAAGAAACATGAAACAATAAAAAATGTACAAAAAAAAAAAAAAAAAAGGACTGGTAGCACGAATGGTCAAGCATACCGTCCCCGTTTATGTTTTTTGCTCAGATAAAAGGTGTTTTTTATAAAATGATATCTAAAGGAAAATTTGGTTTTCAAAGACCTTATCGGTGGCGGTATATCATTCCAACAGCGAGTGGCGGCATGCTTGAAGCTTCCTCTAAACGCTGATGTTCTAGACTGTGGCAATGAGAGCGGTTTGGCAAAAGATCTGCTAAGATATTTTTGTAGTAGGTGTGCTTCCAATTTAGTTTTCTATATAAGTATTCCGGTTTATTCGTGTTTATAACGTCAAATAATAAAAGCTAAATGTAGTTTTCTCCTTGCTTCCATTTTCAAAATGTTATTTGCGTTCAAATAGGGCGTAATATGACTTTTGCCGCGGTATGTTAAAACAGTAGCGGGCACACGCGTTTTGGACTCTTTTTGAATTAAGCGCTTTGTTCTAGACAGCAAACATGGACCATACACAGTGTCGCACTAAGTAAATGTCGAAAGCACTAAACTTTCTACCAGTTTTCTTAATTCAATACTTAAAAATTTTCTAATCCCGTATAAAATTTTTAATTTATAGTAACAATCCTTCATAATATTATTTACGTGACTCTCAAAATGCAGTTCTGGATCAGTAGCAAGGCCTAAATTTCGGACAACTTCCACTCTTTCAATTTCTTTTCCAGTTATTTGTAGTTTTGGATTGGCTAATCCTTGAAATTTTTTTTATTTGATTTTAGTGCCCAGGACCATAAAATTTGATTTTTGTGGGTTAATTATTAAGAGTTTTGCCGAGCCCATAATGCCACCCTTAGCAGCTCGGCATTAATTGTGTCAACCGCAAGTGATGTATCTCTCGGATTAAAGGATAGATAAAGTTGGGTGTCATCTGCATACATGTGATATTTACAATGGTAAAAGCATCTCGACATATCAGCACTGTATAGAATATACAGCAAGGGTCCTAATAAAGATCCCTGAGGTACTCCTCTCCGAACTGGTGCAGGGGAAGAGAACAAGGTCAATCCATCCTTTGCTTTAAGCTCAACGCGCTGTGACCTATTTGATAAGTAGCTTTCGAACCACCGTACTGTTTCACATTCGAATCCGTAGTAAGAAAGCTTTGATAAAAGTAAATTGGTATTTATTGTATCGAATGCCCGCGAGAAATCTAACAATGTTAATATGGTACCTTCACCCCGATCTCTAGCTTCAAGTATATTGTCTATAACCTCTGCTAAAGCTGTTGCAGTCCCACGCCTTTTCCTGAAACCTGATTGTAAGTCAGGAAGGATGTTATTACTTTCAATGTATTCCGTGACCTGAGTAAAACTATCCGTTCTAGTACTTTTGACAGACAGGGTATACTGATAGGGCGAAAGTCTTTACAGCTTTTAGGGTTGTTGTTCTTTTTCAAGGGAATAACATTTGCACATTGCCACAAGGCAGGAAATTTACTTGTGGTAATTGATCTGTTTACAATTGCTATTCAAAAATATTTTTTTCCATTATTTAGAGCATGTTTAAAATTATAAACATTGCAGTTTCATCAAGAAAAAATTCTCGAATATTGTAAATTCTCCGTAGCAAAATTTACAGCAAGAACATGGATGAGGTTGCGTCAAAAGAGAATGTAATTGAAGCGATGATCCGGTGTTAGTAACCGATTTTACTACGTAGCTAATACGATAACAAAATAAGAATTTAAATGCCTTAAATTCTGTGTAATGTTATTTATTTTGTAGTGTTCAGGAGCGGCGCTATGCTCAAGTTTGGCCCTTATCACCAGCCCATCTCAACAAAGTCATGCATAACAAAAAAATAATAGAAGGAAATAAGAATTTAAGTACAGATTCGTACATTCACATACTCTCAAAAATACTAAAAACATTACGTTTCCTCTGATGAAGTCGTAAAGTAAAGCACTTCTAAAGGAAGCCTCAGGTCGGTATGTTGGCATTATTAACAATATAAACGTAAGTTTATTTTCGTAAGCTTTTTTTATTAAATTGAAAGGGAACATAAATATCGCATTTTTAAATACGACGACTGCTGCGACGTATTATGGCACAGGCAAAGTTTTAACGGATTTAACCAATTTAAAGTAATCAGATGTCACTATGGCCCCTTTAAAGACAAATGAGACCGCAAGGTATATAAATTACATTCTATATTCTAAGTTCGTCAGTTAACTTTATACTCAAATAAATTTCAGTCGGGTTATATATATATATATATATATATATATATATATATATATATATATATATATATATATAATACATAAAAACAGATTTAATATAAATCAACTTATTGGCTCATATCAATATACGTTGAAAAGTAGTAAAAAATGACAATTGCACTTATTTACTTTAGAAACTTGTTTTGAAGGCTCCTTCGTTAAATAAACAATCAATGATGCAAGTACAAACAGTTAAAATAAAATCTTATTTTACAAAAGAACGTTAAATTGATATTATCAATATCCGTGATAATCAAAATATTTATGTCCATTCTTCGAAATGAGCTAAAACGAGATGTTGAAAAAAATGTCAATGATAGGCATGTAGGAAAACATTTATATACAAGGTTAATTTGCACTTGCGAGCTAAAAAAATCAATCTTCGGTAGGATTTTGCGCACTTAATTGCATAGAACTTTTTATTATTTTACTGATTTGTGGAACAATAAACTTTACGGTTTCCATGGTCATAGAAAGGCTCAGGATAGAAGGTTTAAAGATTGTGCATACAAACAACAAAACAAAATTACAGGAAATAAGAATTTAGTTTACAGGAAGCGGTTATCCGGTTAAATTTGATAAACGTTTATTACTATATAGGTACCCCGAGTGCTTCAAGATTGGATCTTTATCTTGGCCGGTTTGCAATTACTCGCCAATAAACAAGCAAACTTTTATAAATAAAAGTAACAAACTTAAAAATATATGTTTTATTATCCCCGTATTATACACCCTATTTCTCTCAAAAAATAATAAGAAAGGTCATATAACTTTACCTTGGCACTGCTCGGAAGGTGTAACATTTGTTTCGCCCAATACAAAAATTATTGATAAAGAAATAAAAACAAAACCAACATTATATGCGTGCTTCATTTTTGTCAAGCTTTCAATCAACTGATACGACTGTTCGCGCATACACGACTATAGAAAATAAGATCAACTGAAGACTTGAAGAGATCAGAAGGTCATATTTGCTGAGGCACAGAGTACGTAACCAATAGAGTATTCTTATTTAAAGAACACTCAATTTTAATGACGTTACTCGTATTATGCGCTTAAAATAATCATGCATTATTTTTGTTTGATACATTTTATTCTCTTATTGATGTTTCAATAACGTTAAACATATCTGCATGTTTATGGCAAGGCGGTGGACAGCGACCGTAAATTCTGAATAAAAATTACCTTGTTATTATGCATGAGGCACATGATCTTTTTAAAATATTAAATATCTGCGGTAATGATACCGAGCTTTGGAAACCATTATAATGTTTAACGATAATAAAACGTATGCAGATATAGGTAGCTAATGCAAATCACGCGTCATCGATAAACAGGTGGTGAATCTGATCCTTTATCGCTATCTCTTACTGGTATAGACAAAACCTATGCATGTTAAAATAAAAAAAAAATCATCGACTATTTCCACTGCTATTTCGAAACATGGATCTTGGGCTATCTATACAGTTAATAATCATTTGCTAAATAGATAGATTACAAAATGCATTTCTGTACTTGATCTATGGTTTGAGATCTCGAGCCGTTGTTCAATGTTTAATGTGCAGTAATACTTGTTAGCGAAATCAATTACATACAATCCTTTTTACCCGCAGATGAGTGCGCAAAATCAGACGAAGTAAAGTCGACCACGAGAGTGATTTTTAAGTTCTATCTGTGATTTTTTAAGGTTCACAACCTTATTTGCTCAATGTGGGTGTGCTTATCAGCTTGGCTCATTCTAATGCATCTGCCCCGACAGGAGTCGGGTCGTTTCGGCTTTCGCACTGAAATAAGCGAAAACCTTTAATGAATATAAGGTTTTAATAAGCTAAAATTAACAGTAATATTAGTTTGGTTACATTAGATACATTGACAAAGACACTAACAAAACAGATTGACAATAACATAAGCTTATGGCTGCTAGTTTCAAGTTAGAAGGTTACATCATTCTCCCGCAATATTTTAAAACATAATCTTTTAAAAATTCTGGTGTTTTACGGACGCGGGCAGATCTACGAAGGCAATAGAATACGATCTAATACGAAGTATTGGCTCCGGCGGTGGTGATGATGGTAACTCGGTCTCTAGCTCTCTGCTATTATCAAGTATCACAGGTCCCGTCTCATTAGATGAAGGAATCTCCAATGTTTGGTCTTCTGTTTCCGGATGTGTTTCTGCGACGTTATGATAATCAGTAGTGTGTTCATTATCTATTCGCAGATATACCCCTTCTGAACCTAATGGTGCTAGATGACGAGTCGACACTGTTGTTTCTCGGCCATCTGGGAATCGAATGTATGAAAAGTCAGGATTGCTGTGTATCAATTCAACCTCTTCTACTAATGGCTGATATTTATTTGTACGATTAAATTTCTTCATCAAGACTTGAATCTCACGAAAGACATCAGAATTTGTAAGTCACGATGGAACAGAAGTGCCGTTAGTAGATCTTCGTTTTTTTTTTTTTTACTTGAATATTTCATATTAAACATAAAAGAAACCGAACGTTGGTCAGTTACCAACTTAGTGTCTACCAATAAGGAAATGTCTCCATTTCTTCAATGATTCCACATTGCCGTATGCTTCTTTTTCAATGGGGGAATGGTTTTGTTCGCTTGAATTCAAAGTTCTTGAGAAAAACGCCACTGGTCTATAATTTTGCGTAAGTACTGCTGCAATGGAATGATCGGAAGCGTCAGTTTCGACTGTAAAAGGTATATTTACATCAATTGCATAAATAGAAGACTTTGCGATGTCATTTTTCAGGCCTTGGAAACATTTAATTTCCACGCTTGTGAGCGGAAAAGTTGTTGTATTAGCAAGTGAGTGGATCCGTTCAGAATAGTTTATAATCCACTTAGAATAATGTGCGAACATGCCGAGTGTCCTTCTTAAGGTCGGTAAATCGCTTGGTAGAGGTAAATTAATCAGTGGCTTGAGTCGCTCACTGTCAGGTTTAATTATGTGGTTTTGAATATTATAGCCTAGAATATTAATTGACTCTTGAGAAAATTTGCATTTTTATATACTCAGTGTTAAACCGTATTTCTTTGCGGCATTCATAAAACTTTCGAGGTTATTGTCGTGTTCTTCAAGAGTACGGCCAGAAATAGTTATATCATCAAGATACGCATATGTTATTTGAAGCTTCTCTTTTCTTATAATCCAATCGATTGTTCGTTGGAAGCTCGAAACACAATTTGTTACTCCATAAGGAATACGCCTGTACTGTAGAAAGCCTAACCAGTCATCTCTGCGCATTTGAAAGGGCCCTGCAAGGTAACAACGCACCTGCGCATCAATCGGAAGCCCTGGTTTCGAATACGGAGAAGAAGGACAAGAAGCTTAAATGCAACTACTGCCTAGGTATTGGCCATAGAGTACGCAACTGTCAAAAATGGATCCGTGACGTTAGACCTCCTAAGAGCCAAAATCCGGCCCAGACAGCAACGCCTTCTACTTCAAAAACCGCTAACTTGTTACTCATGTCTTTAGAAGACAACGAAATCTTCACAGTTTCACGGGACAATGAGAGCTGGTACATTGATAATGGCGCAACAAGCCACGTCACCAACAGAGCTGACATTTTCCAAACCTACGAACATTTCAATCAGAACTACACTGTTACAACGGCCGCTGGTAATAAATTCCGTGCCAAAGGCAAAGGAACAGTACAGCTCAGAGGATATGTTAACGGGAAACAAATCGACATCAGCCTGCAAGACGTCTGGTACGTTCCGGCCATAAGCAAGAACCTCTTCTCCGTACTCGCACTTCACGACCGAGTCCCGAATAGCACCTTTTCATCCAGGACAACTGAATGCAACGTCATTGTCAACGGAAAAGTGTGCTTAATAGGGAAGAGACAAAAACAAGGTGGCTTATATCGACTGGAAGTAAAACACGTACTGCCAGAAACACCACCCGCAGTATTTGCAACTACAGCAATGATGCAACTGTACCGCGAGAGACTCGCTCACCAAAATAAAAGACACGTAAGACCGACGATCCAACGGGAACTAGGTCTTAACCTGCCGATGGATAGAGACCTGTGAAGGCTGCATCTTTGGAAAGGCGCATCGACTTAAATTCGGTACTAGAACCCGAGCTACCGCGCCCGGAGAAATCGTACACGCTGACGTTTGTGGACCGTTTCAACCTAGCTTCTCAAACTATCAGTACTACGTTTTGTTTAAAGACGACTTTACTGGCTACCGTATGGTGTAATTTATGCGCAAGAAGTCCGAGGTCAAAGACAAGTTAGTTTTGATGATCGCTCAAACTAAAACTGTCGGACACACCATAAAATGCCTTTTAAGTCACAACGGCGGCGAATTTGATAATGCGACCATAAAAAGTGTTTTAGACACTCATGGAATAATACAGCGACTCGTCACCCCGTATACACCGGAACAAAACGGAGTAAGCGAAAGGGATAACAGAACCCTCGTTGAGACAGGCAGATCGATGATGTATGCTCATGAGCCATTACCACGAGTGCTTTGGGCAGAGCTCATTAATACCGCGGCATACATTCTGAACAGAACAGGCCCCACAAGTTCAGATAAGAAATCTCCGTATGAACTTTGGTATGGAAGGAAACCTATTATTAAACATCTCCGAATAATAGGCTCAACCGCATACGTCCATATCCCAAAGCAGAAGCGTAGAAAACTCGACAAAAATGCGATAAAAGTTCGACTTATCGGGTACGATGAAGATTGTTACCGTATCTGGGTCTGATGGAAAACACTCGACGATCGTCCGCTCTCGTGACGTAATCTTCGATGAGAAACCTCTTCCGATCTGTAATAGTGAAATTCCTAAAACAAAAGTTGAGACGAGAGAATACCCGATTTCCATAACGCCCAACACGAACTTAGAAAGAGAAGTTGCAGCTCCAGAGCAAACTCACGTTCACGAGGGAAATACAACCGAACCAATCTCCAACGACCATGATCATGTTCTCGATGGAGAAGAATCGGATCAAGTCCTCCACGAAGACCATGACCATGAAGAAGAAACCACAGTTCCAGAAGAATTTTACGACGCTGAACCACCGCCACCCGGCTATAATCTTAGAGATCGCTCACTGATTCGACGTCCTGAGAGACTAAGAGATTACGTCTGTATCACTGAAACATTCCCAAATAATTTCGCAGACGCTATGAAAAGGGACGATCGCGAAGAATGGCAAAGGGCAATGGATAGCGAATTGAAATCCTTCGAACACCAGAACGTTTGGACGCCGTGTGCACTGCCAAAAGGAAGAAAAGCACTTCCCTGCAAATGGGTTTTACGGATCAAACGAAATCTACATGGCACGATCGACAAATACAAAGCTCGACTTGTCGTAAAAGGGTACAGACAAAGGAAAGGAGTAGACTATGACCAGACCTTCAGTCCTGTGGCACGCCTGGCTACTGTACGAGCATTACTCAGTGTTAGTGCGCAGGAAAACTTACACCTGGTCCAATTCGACGTCTGCACAGCCTTTCTGAACGGAAAGCTCGAGGAAGAAATATTCGTTCAACCGCCAGAAGGGTGCATCCTCACGGAAGGAACGGCTAGGTCTACCGTTTTCAAGCTTAACCGTAGCCTGTACGGACTCAAACAAGCACCAAGGTGCTGGAACTCTTGCTTTCAAGAGATCCTATTGGATATGACCTTCAAACAGTCCGAAGCTGATTGCTGCTTATATTCAAGAGAAGTAACGGAAAGAAACTACTGATCACGTTGTACGTCGATGACGGATTAGTAGCTGCCACTGATGAAGACACAGCTAACGCCTTCTTAGAAGATTTGAAGAAGAAACTGCGCATAACGACGAAACCAGCGACATATCATCTTGGTCTTCAAACCCATCGAGGAAA